AAAAAAAAAAAAAAAGGAAGAACCAAACGAAGCTTAAGAAAACAAAAATAAAAGTTTTTGTTGGGATTTATTCTTCTCCATCTCTCTCTCTCTCTCTCTCTCTCAAACATTGATAAAGATGAGGGATAATTTTAATCGTGGTTAAGCTATAACAAAAAAAAATACATTTAGAAATTATTTAAATTTTACTTAAATAATTTATTAATGATTTAATATATCAAAATAAATTTGAATAACATTCAAAAATCGTTCAAATAAACTTTAATCAATGTTGATATCCTAGATGATAAAACCATAATAGAGCATTAATGATTTTTATTTAAAAAAAAAAAAATCAATCATAGTTATAACATGGTTTGAAATAGATTCGAATAAGACATTTATGCATATTTCTTCTATTTTAAACATTACGGGGAGTATAAAATCAAAATTTTTGATGAAATTTGATAGGGAAACTCCGAGACAATTTTGTTATTTATAAGTTGAAGTGAGGACTACTTCCCTTGATCTTGAGTGGTATCTGATTAAATTCATGTAAAATCCTAAGTGAAGTTCCTCGTTTAAGGAAAACAAAATTATTGTTCACTATATATCTCAAAAATCTTTGAGGGGCTATTTGGTTGCCTGAAAAGAAAATGCAGTGTAAAGCAAATACAATATAAATTAAATATAGTGCATTCCGAATACTTTGATACTCTTTGGTTGTCTGTAAAATAAACGTAGAAGAATTATTTCCCTTGTTTGGTTAGGTAGAACCAGAGTAAAGTAAAAGCGATTTTTTTGTAATAATTTATTTTATCATTACAACTAGTGTATTTATAAAAGCAGTATATTGATAATAAGTAGTTTTATTTTGGTGTTATAATAGTTAGTATTATTTGGTGTTATATAGTTATGTATAAGTTATATAAAGTATAAATAAATGCATAATAAGAACTCCGATTATATATAACAAATTAGGACTGTTCAAATATACTTTGACATGAGTGTAAAATTATATATAACAAATTAGGATTGTCCAAATCGGGTCATGGGTCGGATTCTGGCCTAACCCGGAACTGTTCTACCCAACCCTTTTTTTACAAATGGGTTAGTTTTTCGGACTTGAACCCGACCCTCTTCGGGTATGTTTTACTAATTTTTTTTATTTAATTTAATTTATTTAAACTTATATAAAATTAATATAAGATTTACTTCAATCAATTTAAAATATTTAAAAGCTTAATTCCGTTTGGGCAACAATATTTTTTTTTAAATAATATTTACTTATTTCATTACAATCTTTTAAAATCCTCTTAAATTAATTAAAAATGGGTCAAACCGGTTGATTTTGGGTTTCCGGGTCAATCCGAACCTGACCCGATTTTACAAATGGGTTGAAATTCCTAACATGAACTCGAACCGGTTCGGGTTCGGGTTGACCTGACCCGAACTTGAAATTTTGGGATCAGATCAAATATTAATGATCTTAACTACTCTAACAAAACTTTAATGATCTTAACTTAAACCTCAACAGTCATAATTAGTCTTAAATATATAATTAGGAGTTAGTCTAGGAGGAAGATTTTTGAGAGCTCATGTTGAGCTCTTCTTGTAAGAGAGAGAAAGGGTGAGGGAAGAGAAGAGGGGAAGAGATAATTTTTGGAGGGAATACAATTAAAGCTTTATTAATATTTTTTTCCTAACCCATTACATCTCATACAATGCCTATTTATAGGTCTTTATATGGATAAGTTGTCAAAGCGGATCAATCTAACTAAAAACGGATCAATACATAACAAATCTCCACCTTGGTCCATGTTTACCATCAAATAACTCAAGATCTAACCATATCTTTAAAATAAGAGCAACAAAATACAATAAATCTGATGAACCAAAGGACTTAGCCCTAAAAAAATTGAGAGCACAACAGGTATCAACACACCTGCACTTTCAGCATTCAGCTAAAGAACAAGATCTTACGGTATCAACTGGCTTCCAACAGATAATCACAACCTATTGTCTATCTCGGAGATGAAGAACAACCAAGAGGAGAACAAGAAGGGTTCACCTTCTTCGCACATAGAAATCTCAAGATTTCACTTCCTCACATCTTCCCTCTTCCACAAGAAGCTCAAAACAACCGTTAACAAAGATCTAGCCCTTTTTTTTCTCTCACACTCGACTCAAACAACCGAACGAAAGAGCTTACGCCATAAAACTCACTTCCAATCCACAATCCCTTTACGATTGTTTTCTCGAAGAAGAAGAACAAAATAGAGGAGAATAATAAGGGTTTGCCTTCTTCACACACATAAATCCCAAGATTTCACCACCTCTCTCTTCCTCCTCACTCAAGAAGAAAAACCAGCTTAGCCCCTAAGCCTTCCTTCGGATGGCTCCCGCTCTCACAAGACCCATAAAACAGAAATCCCTCAAATCACAATTTATGTTTCTGATTTCCTTTCTTTAATCTACTTGCACCAACATACAAATCCACTTATTGGTTTTCTCTCAATCTTGATCGGAAGCTTTACCTCAAAGATCTAAACCGATCTTTAATAAAAAACAATAATCTTGAATCTGTCGTGGTCCCCTACTCACTTGTGGACAACCTGCCTCGCCTTGTACACGCAATCTCCCGCGTGCCTTGCTTTGCTACTTCACTTAGCTATTTTCTTCATCAACAGCAAAAAAAGTTTCTCATGGATCAAGAACCATCACCTGCTGAACTCAGGTTTCCTGTAGCCTGCATGAACCAAGAGCTCCCTAGATCTCCTAGTTGCCTCCTCCTAGCAATTCATAATATCTGCAAGATTCCCTGCAGTATTTGCCAGCAGAAGCTCTTTTCCGACCGTCCCTTACGCAAATAGCTCAGCACGGACGCCTCCCGATCAGACTTTGTCTGTTCCACTTGATTCCACACGAATGAGCCCGACACCGACTAGCACCTATGGCCCGCTTTGCCACGTTGATCGCAGAACCTCCGCTCCGTCTGCGACCAGTCCTCGCGCCCAATACAAGCGGGAATCTCCTCCAGCCCGCATTCGTTCCCTCGATTCAAGCTCAATCGGGCTTTTGCCTCTGGCCGAGTCTACAGGTCAACTTTGTTGTTCGGCTATAACTTCTAACCACCGTGGCCGGTGGATCTCCTTGCGAATCCCACATCCGTGCGCCAAAACTTCTTCTTCGGATCTTGCTAAAAAAAAACCTCCTTACGCACGTCTGAGCTCAAGCAAGCTCCGCAAAACCGAGCCAGGCAGCATTGCTCCAGTCCGCTTATCTGGAGAACTTCGCATGTACTCGAACTTAACCATGACCGAACGGCCTCCCATCTCGTGGCCAAACTAGCCCAACCGGCTCTGCCTTCTTTCCGCGACAAGGGTATGCCCGCCTCGTCAAATCCGGCGAACCTCGCCAAGATCGCATGCTTGCCTCTGCGTCAAGCTCCTAGCCCACTCGCTCAACCAGCGACCCCACTCGTCCTTCCGCCTGCTCACCTGCAAGCAAGGCTCGACGATCAAGCCCTTTCAGCACATATCAACAACTTCATGTGAGCAAGCATGTCGACCACACCGGTAGTCACCACCTCTCTTTCTTGGAAGGAACACCTTCCTCCTTCCTCGATCACCTTAACGAGGCTCTGATACCAATTTGTTGTGCGTGGAAGATATAAACCAACCACCCAACCAGATGATAATTCAATTATCTTGATCGTAGATTATAGGTTATTTGTAAATTGTACTCTCACAAAATTAATTCCTAAGACACAAATAGTAAATAATTAATGTTGCCTCACAGCTTATGAAAAGAATAATTTCAATAAACAAATTTCAGGAAAAACTGAAACAAAAACACACCAAAGTTTACTCGGTTCAAGTTCTTGCGAACTCAACATCCACGGGGCAACCAGGATTATCTCTTTTATTCAATACATGTGGAAAATTGGATATAAGATTTGTATACAGAAAATTACTTCTAAAAAAATCAAACTAGCCAACACTCGGCTAAACAGAGAAGGATGCCAAAAAATAGATTTCTGCCAAAGAGCCTTCCCGGACAAAGATCTCATACGGATCTTTTGAATAGAAACTAATAACAATAACAAAAAAAAAGCTTTCAACCCACTATCATCAATTTTTTTTATAGAAAAGAATAAATGCAAGATAAGAAATAACAGCAGATATAACTAGATATGTCAGAGAACAGAGAAACCGTCCAAACCAAAACCAATGCTTCCAAAATAACAATTCAAGATCTAATCAAATCTTTAAAAATATGAGTAGGGAACTAAAACAGAGAATAAAAAATGCAAGGAATCGGGTGAACATGAGACACAACTCTAAACCGAGAGCAACACAACAGATATCAAGACCAAACCTCCTAATCTACAAGAAGAAACATATACCTGCAATTCCAACGTACATCTATAATGCAAATAAGCAAGATCTTACGGCACAATCAGATTCCAACCGGCAAACAAACCTGTTGCCTTTCACAGAGATGAAGAACAAGAAGGGTTTTCTTTCTTCACACACACACAAATCCTAAGATTTCATCTCTCCACAACTTCTCTTTTGCACAAGAAGCTCAAAAAACTGTTAACAAAGACCTAGCCCTTTGTTTCTCTCACACCCAAACAAAGCATCAAAACCTCAATGCATTTCCAATCCCAAAATCATTTCTCTCACACACTCAATGAAGAGCTTACAGCACAAATTCGGCAACCAAACGACAGTCACTTGAGGTTTTATTTCTCAAAGAAGAAGAACAAGATAGAGAGGATAAACAAAAAAGATTCGCCTTCTAATCAGAAATCCAAAGATTTCACTACCTCTGTCTTCTTCCTTCTCACTCAAAAAATCAAGCCGAAACAAACCCCAGCTTTCTCCTTCGGATGGCTCCCGCTCTCAAAACCCGAAAACTAGAGAAGGCTCAAAAGATCAAAATTATGCTTATGTTTTCCCACTCTCGTAAACCAGAACTTTTATTTGGTCCGGTGAACGTACGCAACTCTACGTTCGGCCGCCAGTAGAATCGCGTCACGCGTTTTCATTATTTATCGCGCGTCTCGACAACCCGACCCGGAACAGACCCAAGATTGCTCGGTATTGCTAGGTATTGGTCGATTTTGCTCGGCAATAACCAATACCGAGCAAATACTTAGCAATACCGAGTTGTACCAAGTTGTACCGAGTTTTTTCTAGCAATACCGAGCAAATACCTAGCAATACCGAGCAATACCGAGCAAATCCTGAGCAAACACTGAGTTGTACCGAGTTGTAAAAAAACTCAGTACAACTTAGTATTTGCATGGCATTGGTCTTCACAGAGCGGTATTTCTGATTTTTGCAAAGCAATACCTAGCAAATACCGAGCAAATACCGAGAAAATCGCGAACATAGCATTTCCTGGTTCCACTCCGGGTCAAGTCGTCGGGCCGCTCGATAAAGAGTAAGAGCATGTGGCGACATGTTATTGGCGGCCGAACGTAGCTCTACGTCCGGTCAGAGGACGTAATAATTGTTCCATAAACCCACTGTCAACTAGCCTTTAAATAGGAAAAGACCAAACAGCCCACCTTTGCAAGATAATAAAGAAATATGATAAGACAAAACTGAAAAAAGTTAATTAATTTAATTAACTGAGTAATTAAATTAATCAACTTATTTTATTTTAAAACACTTATATCACTTCTTTATTACTTTTAAAACAGAATTTTAGTAAAAAATTTATAAATAAAGATGATGATGTATAGAACAAGTGATAAGATAAATCTAAGTGTTCAAATTTTATGCAAAATAACGATGCCATCACACTCTATAATACTAGCACTCAAAATTGAATTAATTAAAGAAATTTTCAAGTGCGACTCATGCAAATGCAAGTAAATAGATAAAAAGATCATGTTAATAAGAGTGACTAAGGAAAAATTACAAGTGTGAGTGTATTGCTCAATCAAGATTAGTGCAATATAAAAAGATTATTTGAATACTTCTAATTGGAGGTATTTTGGAGGATATTTGATCAAATAAATATAAAAGATGATATTGGTCCAAATATACAAATTAAGAGCCACAAAATAATAATTTTTTATATATATAACAACAAAGGTGGATGAGATATTTTGCTAAACTTTTTAATGAAGAGTGTGAAAATAAGATTGACTATAGTGACCTTAGCACCCTAAATGAAAGTAAAGATTATTTCCCTTATCCACAACTTGCTATTCCATATTTTAAAGAGGAAAACAAAAGGTTGGGTTAGGACAAGCTTAATAAGATTTTGGTTATAATAAAATTTAAAAATCTTAAATTTTTTTAGGCAATTAAATATAAAAATTAATTTATTATTTATGAATTACACTCATTTGAAAATAAATTCAATTTTTTTTTAAATTCATCATAACTAAAATTTAATATATTATACCAACCCACCTAATATTTGTCAATTTCAATTGTTGCTCTCTTTAATAGTAGTGAGTGATAAGGATGACCCTAAACAAAATTATATAGGAATCAATAGATCATCAAACATAATTTGATCTGTCGTAAAACTCAATGCTTAATTGAATTTAAAATTTTCATAATCAATTAAATTTATGATCATCTAAACTCTTATTTGAACAAACTCATAGTCCAATTGATATACTACAGGAAAAAGTGAAAAACAATATTTTTCGGCGGCCATTTCCACCAAAAAATGATCAAAATCCACAGTTAATTAGTATTTCAGATAGATTTCCGACAAAAAAATTTTCACCAGTAAATCATGCATCAAAAAATTATTATCGACGTAAGAAAATCTACCAAAATATTTTCGATGGCTTTCCGGCCTGAAATTGCAACATGAAAATAGGAAATAAACAACAAAATAGATTTTTATTTTTTAAAACTCTTCTAATCATTTTCACGTCCGAAAACCCATTCCGGCCAGCTCGATTAATCTGCTGCCCTAGCTGAACTCGTACTAGACCGCGCCAGTTGATCGGCACAACCAAGCCCGCCCCCACCTCGCCGCCCTCAAAACAAAAAACATCAACTCGCTATTCCATGCAAGAACGATGTTAAATAGTCAAAATTTTAGATTAGTTTTATGCAACAAATTCAAGTATTCACGGGCGGTGTGGGACTAAAAAGAAAAGGGAGAAATAAAGCGGGCTGCGAGCTTCTGTGGGGAACTAAAATTTTAATTGATTAATTTAATAATTAGTTAATTAGTTACTTTAATAAATATTTAAATTAGTTAATTTAATTAATTATCCAAAAATTTGAAATTATGTCGGAAATCCGCCAAAAATCAATTGGAAAAATATTTCACCAAAAATCCCTTGGAAATTAATCAGAAAGTTGTCCGAAATCTGTCGGAAAATCCGCAAAAATATTATGAAGAAAAATTTTCACCGAAAATTCTATCAATAATTTTCATTTTTTCCTTCAGTGATAGTTAAACATTATCACTTGACTCCATATCTTCAAACATCATTACAAACTATATTCCTCCAACCACCATCATTTGACTACAAACATCCAATCACAGTCACCAACATTGGTACTCCAACTACTATGATCCTTCAATCACCTTATCCAAATACGATTCTGCAATCATCATCACATAACTATGATTCTCTAATCACCTTTGCCTGAATACAACCTTCAAATCATTTAACACTTTATTACACTCTTTTAACCATTATCGTCCGACGCCCATATAATTCATTACTTGACTATCAATAATGTTGACACTCGCCATCTTCTATAAAATTGATACACGCTTTCAAAATAATTATGACTCCCAACATTATACCAACTATTATAATAGACTTCTTTGTCTTAAGTTCCTTTGCACAAAGGAGAACATTCCACATGCCATGGGGAACTTCCAACTTCCATGATAAAAAAGAAGGATATCATTTGTAATCGATGACAAACAAGAGCATAATTTTGTAAATTAGGCTAGGCCCTATAATTTTCATTTTTTCATATAAAAATTTTGGTACCACTTATATATCTTTTTATTTGCATGTTCATGTATGAAATCATCTAAGATATTAAACTCTTAATTTTGTAAATCGGTGTGGGCCCTATATTTTTTAATTCATTATGTACTTGTGGCATATAATTTATAATGTATTGTTCAGCATTTAAAAAAAAATTATATATTAGGAGCTTCAGCTTCCAACTAAAATATTTTAGATTTCTTTTTAAAAAAAAACTATATAATAAATTTATAATTAAATTAACTCAAAATCTAAATATAAATCCCCATCCATAACTGGCAAATTATTACATCCGGTCACCGGATCAAGAAAATAGGTCCGGACATCCACTAAAAAGTTGTCACGTGAATCTCGTTTCGACTGTGCACTTTGACTGGGCTTTACCTGAGCTTTTGACGAGCTTGATTTAAAATTCCGCGGACACGTACATTTCACGCGTCAAATTTTTAAAAGATATCCAGACCTATTTCTAAATCCAGTGACCGGACATAATAATTTGCCTCCATAACTAGTGGGTGGTGCGCTACATTGCCCGGTGAAATTTACGAACACTGCACCGATTCCAACTTCACAAAAAACACCGACTGACCATAAGACCCAGACGAAAAATTCGTGAATGCGCACAAGTAATATCTTATAAGCAGTTGGCGATCTCATCGAGCACGTCATCGATAGCTTATCACCTAATTACACATGTTACAAGCGTAGCCTATCCATAAGGCGCAGCTGCATCTCATTACTTCTTCCCCTTTGATCTACTGTTACGCGGACGGATTGTTGCCCTTTGACCCACTCCACTTCGGTCAACAATTCAAACACCCAGCGCTCGTTCGTTCTAATGGCATACTCCCGTAAATTTCTGTTGTTGCCGCGTTGTTGTCCGTATTCGGGACAACTGCCTCGCTAAGAGGCGGCTAATATTGTCTAGAGATTAATTAGAATGAATAACGCTGTATTCATTTTTTTTTTTTTTAGAACGGATATCCACATGCTGTCACCTCCGAAAGGAAGCTTGGCGGCGCGTGACTAATCCTCGATTAACTAAGAAAAGACACTCATCATAGAAACCTCCTGACCATACTTGATTGGACTTCACTTAAGAGGATCTGTCGCTCGAGGGGAATCAAGCACGAATTGGAGAGTTTCCAATCAAATTTGCCTACCAACCGAGCTAAGCATCGACGGACAATTCTTCTAATTTTAAATGAGAGCTTAATTTAGTTTTTCAAACTACACTGAACGGCAATTTTAGGTAATTTCGACAACTTTCATGGGCTTAATGGAAATAAGAGTTCAGATTATACCGCGAATCATTGTAACAGGATTTCCCAAATTTAGAAGAAGCCCTCTCATTATTTTCGAAGGAAATCCACAATGGAAAGTCCACGCTACTACCGCGTAATGCTGTGAGTAGCTCAAGCAGAAGGAAAAAGTCGCCCACTTGGACGAAGGCCAGGGGCTGAGAAGCTCGAAGACAGTGCCCGAGATCCAAACACTACAAGAAAACCTTCAATTTTGCGTCTTTTTGGCTTCTCAGTCTCCGGCCATGGCTGTGATCTCTGACAACGGTTCACCGCCCAACGCTGCGCGCCCCCAGTCCGACACCGCTCAATCCGACCCCCGATCGATCGATCTGCAAAACGTTAATCCAAAGTCAAATACTCCCGACAAGTCGCCGGCGATCTCAGGCGGAGAGCTAACTCTCAGCTATCTTTGTGAAAATCCCAAGCTTGGTATCCCCGAGAGGGAGTCTGCCGCAGTCGCCACCACATCTGCTGCTGCTGGATGCAGTGATCTCATTCTTTCGCTGGAGAAGTCGCGAGCGAAGGGTAAAGAGATTGCCAGCTCCACCGTTGGCGGCGGCGCAGATGAGGAAAGATGGGTTGAGAGGGATTTTCTCCAGTTGAGGGGTCTCATCGGAAGCAAGCGGGAGGGAGCAGAGCCCGTTAAGGTTGACGGACACGAGAAGAAGGTAAAGATTGAACCCCTAAACCTAACCCTAGCCCCTCCAGGTCTCTCTCTTTCGCTTAATTCGTCCAATCCCTTGCCGAATGCTCTCCCTCCGATACCTGTCGGCCCTGACTCAGTCGCCGCCACCGCCACCCCTGCTATTAATTCCATATCCCAAGCAAGGACTCTTAGCGGCAATACTCGGGCGACGAATTCGGAGGATTTCACCCCGTCTCTCTCGTATTCATGCTCTGTCCCGTTCTCTCACAACCCTAGCTGCTCCCTAACTCGCAACTCCACCGAGAATTATGATATCTCGAGGGATAACGATCAGATATGGTATTGTGGAGCTGGGGAAGGGACCAATGGCTCCGTTCATAGCCGATTCAGGCCAGTAGGTGATGGAAACAGCATCACTTTCTCGAACCACAGTGGTTTTGCTCACATGGGTGGAAGTAACAAAGACACCAATAGCAACACTAATAATGGTTTATATAAAGCTAGCAGCATTGCAGATGATATCTCCTTCTACCCAGCGGAACTTCCTGCTAGGCAGGGGAGAGTTCATGCTGCCACTGTAAGTGCCGAGAGTGGGAGAAGTGCCATGCTGACTAGGCCCGATAGGGTGCTTAAGGAGATTGTCTCAGATTCAGTTCCTGTTATGGCGCAGAGGTTGCAGGAATTACCGACCAACTCGGTAGAGGCAGTAAAAGAATATTTGAGGAATCTGATGGGTTCTCCCGAGAAGGAGGAGTTCAGTAGTCTCCAAAGGAAGCTAGACAGGAGGTCTGATCTCACCTCTGAGAACCTTATAAAATCTCACAGGGTGCAGCTTGAAATAATGGTTGCAATAAAAACGGGCGTCATCGGTTTTTTGTCTTTGAAGATTCGCATCCCAACTAGTGAATTAATGGAAATATTCCTATCGACGAGATGTAAAAATCTGAGCTGTAAGAGCTTGCTTCCTGTTGATGACTGCGATTGTAAGATATGCACAAACAACAAGGGCTTTTGTAGTGCTTGTATGTGCCCAATCTGCTTCAAATTTGATTGTGCCTTGAACACCTGCAGTTGGGTTGGATGCGACGTTTGCTCTCATTGGTGCCATGCGATTTGTGGGATTCAGAAGAATCTCATAAAGCCCGGACAAAGCTTGAAAGGAGGAGGCACAATGACAGAAATGCATTTCTATTGCCCTGGATGTGACCATGCTTCTGAAATGTTTGGCTTTGTCAAGGAAGTTTTCATGTGCTGTGCAAAGGGTTGGGGTCTTGAGACCCTGATGAAGGAACTGGACTGTGTTAGGATGATCTTCCGTGAAAGTAAGGATCTTGAAGGGAAAGAATTGGAAAGGAAGGTAGATGAGATGCTTAACATGCTAGGAAAGAAGCAAATTTCCACATTGGATGCATGCAATGGCATGCTGCACTTCTTCAAATGTAAGTGTTTTATCCAGTTTCCTTTGCAAATGCTGGTATCGCCCCTATTTTCATCTAACTTGCTATATAGTTCATGGATTTTCAAGGAAGGTATGATCTTACATAAATATGTATTTATCTGTTATCGTTCTTTTCTTTATAATTGTCATAATCTGTGTGGCTCTGCAATGTTGTTTTTAACTGTCCTCGTGATTTATGGCGTTTGTATGGGTTTCTTGATGTTAGTATTTATCTAGTTAAATTTTGAACTTGTAGGATCTTTTCATTATTTTCTATGTTAATATGTTATGATTTAATTTCAATTACTAAATTAAAATGTTTTAAGCATGTAGAACACTTAATTCTTACACACATGGAAGCTGTATTTATTATTACCGGATAACTTCCTGCAGTGACTAATGAAAAATTTATTATCATATACTTATTGCTTGGCAGGATCCTACAAAGTGTTATGATATGTTATTTAGGTGTTAACACAAGTTTCATGTAGGGTGTTTGATTTGTATTTGTATATTTGGTTCAATATTTTAAAAGAGAATAAGCATTTCCCTTTTGGCTTAATTAGCAGTGGTGTTGAATCGAGTTTGAGTTAGGCTCCTCTCAAACTTGAAATCGAAACTGAATGCTCAACTTGAACTTGAGTTGAAATCAAAATCATTTTTAGACAAATTGATTTGACTCAAAATGATTCATTTTTTAGTTGACTCGAAATGAGTTTTTAAGTAAATATATACATGAATTTAAATATAATACAATGAATTATACATATATTATGTTATATGCTATTAAATCCGAGCCGCCCCTTACATTTTGATCCCACAGCTAGGATAGGGATCCATGGTAGGCTCACCTGGATTGCGCCGATCTCCGCCGTCACTTGGCATTTTGATCCCACAGCTAGGATGGGGATTCGTGGGAGGCTCACCTGGATTGAGCCGATCTCCTTCAATATTTAGGTGGCTGGTTTAGGAAGGATTATATTAGAACAATTATGTGATTAATTATTTCCTTATTAAGATATCTTGTATAGATATATAAATAGGGACATATTTGAGCATTAAAATTAAGCATTTTCCCACTCCAATTCTTTGAATTTAACATGGTATCAGAGCCTAAAGAGATATAATATGTGAGTTCCACTATCGACCTTCATTGCCGTTCTCGTTCATAGACTAAAGAGAAGGAAGTGGAGAGGAGTAAGTGGCTTTCATTGCCGGCCTTCTCTTGTTACTGCTACTACTCTTATAACCAACACAACCTTCATTGCTGCCCTGCACCTTGCTGGCTTGATTAATATAGCCTCCATCGCTATCCTTGGCCACCAAAATGTCTGAAGCTAATTTTTCCCAATGCTCTATGGAGGATTATGTGGTGCACCAAGGAAGAAGAGATCTCCAAAATATGTAACCTTTTTATCGCTTAAACGGGAATAATTACTTGATGTAGTCTCAATTTATGAAGTTCTACTTGAAAGGGAAATGAAAGATAATCACCTCCTTGGGGTATTACCAAAAGAAAAAGATCATAATTTTTGGGCATGGAATGAAGCAGACTCCATGATCATGTAATGGTTGTGGAATTTCATGACATTCAGGCAAACCTTCTCAAAAGCTCAGAATGTTGCACAAATCTTCAAAATTAAAGTCAATGTGGGAAGCACAAAACAAGGAAGCAAGACCATGACTGAATATGTCACTCTCCTTCAAAGCTAGTGGCAAGAACTTGATCACTACAGATGCATAGAGACCAAGTGTCCAGAATATGCTACTATCCTGATAATTTTTATTGAGAAAGATAGATTGTATAACTTTCTTGTAGGATTAAATGCGGAATTTGATTAGGTAAGAGTTCAAATCCTTGGCAAATAGGTGACACCTTCATTAAATGAGATCACTTCTCTCATTCATGCTGAGGAAAGGCGATGAGGGATAATGCTGGAGCTAAAGGTAGTTAAAGGTTCAACAATTGTGTTAACCAAAGGGGCGATATGGAAGGAAAAATGTAAGGATTCCTCAAAATCTAAAGACAAATACTCCATTTGGTACAACTATTATAATAAATCAAGATACATAAAGGAGACATGATGAAAGATACATGGAAAGCCTCCAAGGAGTGGAATCAAAGAAGTGGATAAAAGGGCATATCAAAAGACAATACTATAATAAGTCAGCCCAACCCAAAAATACAGTCTAGCTTTAGAGAGCTCAATAAATAAGATATTGATAAAACAACTCATGGTATCTCTTAAAAAATCATCTGCATCTTCTCTTGCATTTTTAGGTAAGTTTTTTTTTATATTTATTGGATTAAGTGCCTATAGAAATCATTTAAATTGATTATGGATCATTAACTTAGGAGCCACATATTACATGGCATACTATACTACCCACTTTATCATCTATACTCCTTGCAAAAGTGATAAGAAAAGTATCACTGCTGATGGTTCTCTTACCATAGTAGCAGGTTAAAGAAACATACTCTTATCTCCCCCTTTCACTCTAAAAAATGTGTTCCACGTACCTCAATTATGTATAAACCTAATCTTCATACAAAAACTTATCAGTGACCATAATTATCAAGTCTTATTAAACCGTATTTGTTGCTTATTTTAAGACCAGGGATCGGGGAAAAAAATTGAACTTGCTAAGGAGAAAAATGAACTGTACTACCTCGAAGACCTAAACAAATCTAATATTTTCAATAATGGATATTCTATGTTATCCCTATTTGATAAAAAAATATACTATTTGGCTTCATCATTTTATATTAAGACATCTATCTTTTGATGTTTTAAGAAATATGTATATAAAACTTTTTTATAAGTTGTAAAAATAATATTTTCATTGTGAAACCTGTGAGTGGCCAAACATAAATGAGTTTCTTTTTCAAACAAACATGAGAGATGTAATACTCCATTTTATCTTATTCATAGTGATATTTGGGGGCCCTAAAAATTCCAATATCTCAGGCGCCTGATGGTTTGTATCATTCATTGATAACTGTACTCGAGTTTCTTGGATCTTTCTAAAAAATAAATCTAATGTTAGCACTATCCACCCCATTTTTTTTACCATGATCTAAAACCAAATTGGGATAAAAAAAAAATTTCATTCTAATAATGCTGAAGATTACTTTAAACAAACTTGATCCTCCTACTTTCAAAAAGAATGTATCATTCTTGAGTCTTCCTGCATTTACATACTACAACAAAATGAGGTTGCACAAAGGAAAAAATGGTCATCTTCTAACTATGATGCATCGACACACCTACTTATGAAGGTATGCAGTGTCAAACACGGACACTGGACACGGTTAGGACATGTATCAGACATGACTGAAATGTGTCCGATTAAAATAATTTTTAAATTTAAATGGGCATACATGTTCTAATATGTTTTTAATTATATTTAATTAAATAAAATGAGCCGAACCGCGCACATCTAGGTTATCCTGCATCCTTTCGTATTCAAAGTCTTCTTCATTTCAATGAGAAGGTAAAGATTGCCATCTTCTTAGTTTTCGCAAGCAAACGAGGCCGAAGGAGCTTGCGTCTTCATCGTCTTGTTTATATTCTAAAGGCAGATGAAGTTGAACCTTCAATTGAAGGTTGGTGTTCATCGTATTCTTCATTTCCGCATGCAGATGAGGAAGCTTGAGCATCGTACACTCGATTGAAGCTTGCTTGATAGTCATCTTCATCATTTTCGCAGGCGACTAGGGCATCTGGATCATTCGATTGTATTTGTATTGTCGAAAATAAGTTTTTGCGTATGCTCCATAAATTGGCTTAGAAGATATAGGATGTTCTTTATTTATTTGATCTTTTCAATTTCACACTCTTTTTTCTTATTTGGTGATTGTTATTGATTTATTCTAAGTGAATAGTGATTGATATCCTCAACCCTCTGCAATTAATGATCTAAGTTAGGAATAACATATGATTCCAAATGCAAGAAGTTCTTTTGAGTTCTGGGATTAAGGTTTACATAACCATTCAATTTGTTGTTCTTTATTATTATTATTATTATTTAAATTAATAGTATATTATTCGTTGTTGATTATTTATCCCTAACTTCACTATTGATTTTTATACATGATAGAATATGAGTTTTGCATGCCTATGATAGCAAACCGTTAAAAACTTCATCTTGTATTTTAGTTACTTTTGTTATCATCTTACATGCAGTATTCTATAGGATTTATGCATATCTAGTATAAGATCTCCACATAATCCTACTACATCAAGTTCAGTATTAAGACCATAGGTTGCATTTTATGGTCTCTCAATATGAAAATCCTATTTATTCCTTTTAATGGTAGTTAAAGCTTGATGTTGTACTAAATAATTTTTGCTTATATTTTTGTGGTTGTACTAGATATTTTATATTATAAACTAGATAAGTAATTATGATATTAATTTATTATGGATTTTCATTTCTAATATGATGTTATATTAATTTTTATACACTATTTAAAAATTATAATGTCATTTCCTCGCCGTATATGTGTCATATATTTTCAATGATAGCGCTTGTCCCGTGTAAATGTCATGTCCGTGTCGGTGCATCATAGCCTTCTAGCCTCCACCCGTGCACTTCTATTCCACCATAATGTACCTAAATCCTATTGGGGGAAGCCCTTCTAACTACCACATATCTCATAAATCGACTACCTTCAAATACCTTGGGGCTTAAAGCACCAATGGATATTCTATGCTCTTTTTACCCCGAATTTCAAACCTATAATAATCTTACACCCAAAATCTTTGGGTGCATTTCCTATGGTTACATTTATAGGCAAAATTGAGAAAAATTAGATCCAAGAACACTCAAATATATCTTTGTTGGATATTCATCTACCCAGATAGGTTATAAGTGTTATCATTCCTCTACCAAGAAAACTCTTATATATGTTGATGTTCCCTTTGATGAGCAAAAATCTCTTTCATCAAATCTCATCTTTAGGGGGAGACTAAAATTGAGGAAGAAGAGGAAAGTGAG